CCGCCAGCCAGCAGCAGCAGCAGCAGCAGCAGCAGCAGTTCTGCAGGCCCCCGCCGCCAATGCCCGAGGACCACTGGTCCGCCTTCGGAGTGGTTTACTCTTTGGGGCCCCCCGAAGTGTCTTTGGAAGCAGACAGCTGTCTGTACACCCCAGGGGCCCCCCCCAAGGCCGAGCTGCAGCGGCTGTTTGCTGCTCATGTTGCTGCTTGCATGCATTTTTTGAACGAGCTGGCAGCAGGTTCTGAGGACTGCAGCAACTCGCTGCGCAAAGTCGCGCGGCTGCACCGCAACTTGCTGCACCTGCTGCTGCTGCTGCGCCACCAGCAGGCGCAGCAGCAAGTGCTGCACCGGCTGCAGCAGCAGCTCAAAAAACGAAAACAAGCAGCAGATTCTCTCAAACGCGCCCTCGCCCTTTCCCTCAAAGACATGCAGCACGCCCTCGCACTTGCTGCTGCTCCCCGCAACCCCAACCAGCAGCAGCAGCAGCAGCAGCCCAGCAGCCCCTCAGGGGGCCCCCAGGGAGGCCCTCAGGGGCCCCCAAGCGCCCCCTAGGAGACCCCAAACGCTCTCTAGGGGGCCCCACAGGGGCCCCACGGGGGCCCGACAGGGGCCCCCATAGGGGCCTCACAGGGGCCCCACAGGGGCCCCATAGGGGCCCGACAGGGGCCCCCATAGGGGCCCCACAGGGGCCCCAAAGGCCCTCTTGAGTGTGAAGTTCCAATCCTCTTCGGGGGCCCCCTGAGCCCCTGAAGCTTCAGGGGGCCCCAAGGGGCACAGGGGGGCCCCCCAACTCAAATGAAGAATTTTACTTTAATTTGTGGGGCCCCCCTGAGGGGCCCCCCTTTAGCAGCAGCAGCAGCAGATAGTGCTGGCTATCTAGAGGCCCCCAGACTGTTTGCTCAGCTGCAGCTGCTGCACCTAGCGCAGCAGCAACTGGCAGCAGCAGCAGCAGCAGTAAGCCGCGGCGTAGACTATAGACGCCAGCACGCTAGCTGGCTAACCAGCCAGCGGGCTAGCTAGCCAGCTAGCTAGCTAGCGAGCTAGCTAGCTAGCTAGCTAGCTAGCCGCC